AGACTCACCACTGGAATGTCCCAGGTCCAAAGGAGATTTTTCAAATACTGCAAGCTTAATTTCTACTAAAATTGGTATTTCTACGTGGTGATTATATGCAAAGATTCTATAGTAGGCGGAGGTTGGACATGTCTTTCAAGGTGGAAAAATCCTCAAAACGTACTCGCGGAGTGGCGCTTATTATTGAGGAGTAGTTTTCCACTGTCCATAACTGAAATATGTTGTCCTAAACAAAAAAAATCATAAGTATGAGCCTGTCTTTACAGGAAAGAAGACAATACATGTGGTACCTGAGTTAACACCATTTCCATATCGAGAATCGTTCCAAGAGCCTTAAAAGTTTGAGGTCCAAAAACTTCGAGCTTGAACGTGAGGGAAAGGAAAACAGCCTGTGATATGACATATTTCACAGCATTCGAGTAGCAGCAATACGCGCGAATTATCGGAGCATCACTGCAATTGTCGGATTGCAATCAGCGGCTCGCACCTGCGGTTACTCCCTCCCTGAATCGATCTTTACCCGATCGCCATTGGTAGAGCAACGAGGCCGAACGCCCATTTGGACCGCGTTGCACAGCCGCCCTCCGACAGTCCGCAATGATGAGGACTGTATACTCCTCATCATTACGGCCTGTCTGCACCAGTTGTTGAAGCGATCAAATGACATAACAGCATTATATCCTTCGTATTACTCGTTTTCTACCACTTTTTGTCGCATACGCGTTTCAACGAAAAGGCTGAGAACGGCTTCAAACAGTGTGCGCACTCCTACTGGCTGATACGCCCCGACAGTCCGTAATGATGAGGAGTGTACAGTCCTCATCATTGCGGACCGGTGGGGCGTGTCAGCCAGAAGGAGTGCGCACACTGTTGAAGCCGTTCTCAGCCTTTTTGTTGAACGCGTATGCGACAAAAAGTGGTAGAAAACGAGTAATACGAAGGATATAATGCTGTATGTCATTTGCTCGCTTCAACAAAAGGCTGAGAACGGCTTCAACAGTGTGCGCACTCCTTCTGGCTGACACGCCCCACCGGTCCGCAATGATGAGGACTGTATGTGACGGTAGGGCTACGGGGCGTGCGCGCGACAAACATTTCATCGGGACAATGACATTCCGTTGCGATCTTTTCAGACGGCATTCTTTGGCATCTCAACCGTACGATACTTATGTTCGCTGACAGTAAGCTGTCCACAGCGTTGCAACTGTCGAATGATTAGGGGCTAGCCAATAGGCTAATTAGCTCGCAGGCTAAAGATGAGCTTGGCAATATAATTACCACGTGAATTCTCTAATTAATCAAAAAGAACAAAATCTAATGACCACTACACTTCAGGTCCTACCAGAATTGAACCACATGGCTGAAAACGGAATCTATCCAGCCGCTTCAAGGTTGCGTGGCATAGCCTCTCGGGAGCAGGCTTTTATTGTGCGTGCTATATGTGTGATTCTGATGGGTAATTAAGCGAGAAATAAGAAATCGAAGTTCAGGTTACTGAGGTCGCACTTTCAAAAAAAATCGATTGCAGTAGACAAATCCAACACAATTCAGATCTACCAAGGTCTCTTCAAAGATAAATACCTGATCTGTCCACTAGAAGAATCTTGTTTTGGATCGGTGCACGTTCAGAAAAGCGAATCAAAATAGCCTGTAAAATGGTAATGTTAAACAGGCTGTAAAATCAACAAGAAGATGAGCACCGAAATCAGAACGCGTCGCGAATGTTATACACCGGGGCATTTGGTGCAATAGAGCGTCGGACCGGTATTCCCAACCTTGCACAAGGGATGCTCAGAAACTGTAGACTTTCTTTTTTGCTGAACTCTCTCCATTTATCAAAATGTTGGACAAAATCCCTTTCTAGAAGATTGGAGGAAAACATCGTAAGCTAATCAGTGATTTTCGCCCAGGGCGAAAGCGCCCGCGCCCCAGAGTGGGTCGAGTAGCTCACCCACGTGCGGACAAAAAGCTTTCTTCTCACTGCAAATAATTATACCTTTTCCTAATCACATTCGCTGCCTTTTACAAAGAGAATTCCTAGAATGTATGAATTGGTTCGATGCACCACGTCAAAATGGCTCTAAGATTCGGGATGGGCTCATCGTAACTTTCTAGTATAAAAGTACAAATAGAAAATAGAAAAAAATGAAACAGTAGTTCACAAAACAAATGAATATGGGAGTCAGAAAAGTCATAATCATATATGGCAGTGAAGCGCTCGAAGAAGACGATAGAGAGCACACAGAGCGTCTTTCCAAATTCATGATGGTCCACAGACAACATGAAAACAGTTTCTCTGATCGCGACCGACTTTCTGTTTCTCTGCGCTCTCATGTCTAAGTGGTATTCTTTGGCCACAGTAATCTTACACATGCAAACTTTTATGCCTTATAAAAAGCTCCTTTACCCCGGCGCCCGGGCTCGCGGTAGATTTTTGCAGCGTTTGATGCCTCGACGGCCGTAATCCTCTGTTTCTCTGCGCTCCGACCCTTCGCGTTAGGACCACCACCAAAGTTCAAATTGTCAGTAATCGTTCAAATTGCAGCTCACAAAGAGCTTGCTTCTTGCTCATTTACGGAATTAGACTACAAGAATAGTGACCATTGTCAGAATGACTGAACCAACACGTTTAGGCTGGAGGGGGCAATTTTGAACAATATTGTAATTTTTACACTGGTATTGCTGTTGATTAAAGGCAGTTGGCACGATAAATCCCCCAAGACGAGTAGGATTAATACGCCTGGCAGGACGGAATTCCGCGACCCTGAGCAGGCGCTGCATAATGCCTTTTCCAAGGAAGGTGCCCAGGGCCCTATCAAGCCACAACATACCCAAACGCCCGCCACGCCCGCCCGCCCACAAATGGACGACCGTTCCTGACGCTCGTATTGATTCATTTGCTAAGCAAATTATGAAGCGAAGGGATTGGTATGAAGCGGCCGTGATGCTGCATGGATATATGAGTACGCATGCAGCCGTTCCTTCGGTGGCCTACGGACAACTTGAACTCAATCCCTTTGAACGCGTCGATCTTCTCTTTTTCTCTGCACTCTCTCGTCCGCATGGCACTCTATGGCCGTTGTGACTTCGCTCATAAGCTTTTCACCGACTATAAGTAGCTCACCCACCTGGAGTCCCCTCCCCTTGAAAAATCCCGTTTCCTGGCTCGCCATACGTTTTTTGCACGTTTCGATGCTTTGGCAGCCGCTGCCCTCTATCCGTCTGCGTCACAGGGTTTCGTAACAGGACCATGCACAAAAGTTCAAGATGTCACGTAACCAAGTAGAAAGAGAAAGATGATCAGAAAAGTCAATTATCAGGGCGAATTACTTCAGCAAATGGCAAAACTGGCGAAATTCCCTCGATTGTGAAAACGACGCAAACAGCTCTTACGCAAACGTTTAAGGTGAGGTTTGGCAAATTGCCAACAGTTGGATGTGACCTTATAACGGTATAACGGTAATCGAGGGAACTATTTCGCCTGTTCGCCATTTACTGAAGTAATTCGCCCTGATAGTCGACTTTTCTGTATTCTCTCACCACTACCACTAACTCACCTATACGCATCCACTATTTGTTCAATCCTCTTTTCTCTTTTTCCTTCCACATAAAAGCGGCTGCTGATCGGAGCACAGTGGCGGAGGCGCAGGCCATCGCCCTTCGCTCCGCCCTGCCGCCGCGCTGACGTCAAAACCGCGCCGCATACTCGCCCGCGTGAGGTTTTCCCTCCTCCAATTAATTTGCGAGTGAGGCTGCGTCATAGTCGCAGTCATACTGAGAAAATGACTACTGATTAAAAAAATTGAGGAAATTGAAATAAAAACTGAAATATCATAAGGAAGATTGAGAAAGAACAGTGATTACTTGCTGTTCCCCAATCTAAAAGGATCCTCCTGGAAAGCGTTTTTCTGACGATGGAGAGCTGAAGGCGGCAATTGACGCACATTTTGGGGACAATGGGGGAAATATTTTAAAATGTATTGAAAAATTAGTTCAATTTCTGATTAGCAAACAAGTGTATTGAGGTTCAGGGGACTACATTGAAAAATAAATTTTATTCAGTATTTTCTGCCTATTTCTTCATACCTACATATACACTCCTCTTCATTACGGACTGTCGGGGCGTATCGGCCAGAAGGAGTGCGCACACTGTTTGAAGCCGTTCTCAGCCTTTTCTTTGAAGCGCGTATGCGACAAAAAGTGGTAGAAAACGAGTAATACGAAGGGTATAATAACTCGCTGTATTCATTTGATCGCTTCAACAACTGGTGCAGAAAGACTTTGGAACCGCGGAAAACGCAGCCGCACTGACCCGCCCCGACAGTCCGTAATGATGAGGAGTATACCTAGAATACGCTGAACACCCCTCGTATGTACACTGGAAGAGAAGTATTTGAAAAAGTGACTAAAAACTCTGATTTGAAAAAGATTCATTCTCTTCAGAGCATCCAGTTAGGGCAAGTACATATTACTTTAAAACAAGGCAAAAGTTTTAATAGTAATTCCAAGGTTAGCAGATGAATTTCTAAAAAAACGGTTAGCGTCAGTAGCAGTGTAGTCTTGAAATACAGGACTCGGAAGGCCAAGATACCACCTTCGGCTTTTTAATACAATAAGTAGCGAAACTTGAAGTCAAAATGCTACATACTAGGTGAACAATGATCACAGAATAACCAGTAATGATACAGTAACCCTAAAAAAGTAACAAAATGCGGAGTGAAACCAAACAATATTCTCCAGGTTTTCTGGAGGGCTGTTAGGTTATGAGCTATGGCTATGGCTTCTGGGCATTGAATAAGAGACAAGTTAAATACACCGTCAGAAAACAAGTTAACTGAAATAAAGTTGAATAACTAAATTGAAACTACTGAGAATGATTCACTTGAAACTAATAAATTGAATAAAAATGAAAACAAATTGGACCAATCGCTAGAATGACTATTTAACCAAAACGATGCTCCGACATAAAGCAGCACTGGAGCTGTGCAGCCCACACTGTACTACTTAACAACTGCCAGGTCATTTTTGTCTGCAACAGTGAACGCCGGTGCTTTTGTCCGTACATCAGCAGCTATTGAAAGAGCATCGGCGATGGTCGGGCAGAACTGGTTCTCGTCTGTAATAGAACAAGGATAAAAGGTTGATCCTTCCAATTTTAGTCATGATCATCGCACACAACTGGGCGTGCGATGGGGACGTTGCTTGGAGCGCAGCCAGGGCAGATTTCCGACCAGTTGTAGTCTCGGGCTCTAGTGAATAGTAGTCATTGCTCGTGGAAAAGTACGTTGAGCGCCGGTCTACATCGTCGCCTCACATACTCCTAACTTTTTGTAGGGCGATGGGTCTCAAGAATTTTTTTCTGTAACTTCTAGGGCTGATCAGATAAATAAAGGAGACGCTGGAAAAGCTTCACAAAAAACCTGTTTTTCCCAGAGGAACCTATCTCTATTCACAAAAAGCCCATTCATCTGAAAGAACCTATTCCTTACATAAAAGAACCTATTTCTTTAGAGCAGTGGAAGATCCCCAGGCCGCAAGCGAGGACTAAGACATGAAAAACATAAAGCGAAATATACGACAGGCGCACCAGCGCTCAAAACCTCAATTCATTCATACAAGTGGTGACAGACAAGTGGGCAGACCTAGTAGAGCGAATTGAAACCTATCAGTTGACCTTCTTATCTGTTTTGAGGAGCACGCTCAGGCTCTCTGTTAACTGCGAAGCCCTGCCCGCTTTGCCCTTCCATCTTTCAGAACCGTGCTCCACTTCAGTTATGCGGATGTCTGTGAGATCTCTTGAGTGTCTTACAGACACCATATTTCCAAGACCTTGGCTTTGACCTATCTCAGAACTTGCAACTTCAAGCTATTGCACTCTCATTTACTTGTTGGAATATCGCGATGACCAATATATGTAGATAGCCTTGTTTGCTGCTGACGAACTGGCCACGCCCCGCGTGTCATGGAGAAGGGCTTGGCACGGCGCCAGCCCGTTACGTTTCTTTTTTTGTTCGCAAGATGATGAAACTGTACCATATAGTTCGTATCGTGGTTTCCAACCAGCTGTTGTGGTTTACTCGCTTGAACAGCTGGTGGAGAACGGGCTAACGGCGTATCGAAACGACCATCACTGACACCCCCCTTTAACCGCAGCGAACAAAACAGTACTAGCTTGGAAAATATGCAAGGGTCAAACTGACGGAATGACTTGAAGAGTCCTGCAAGCGCATACTGCCGCCGAATGGAACCTAAAATTAAATTATTCGTTCCGTTGGAGAGAGACATCTTATTACAAACTCACTTTTCATGTTGGCTAGAATCAGAAACACTTGTTTGGAGCGCAGTTCATCGTTCACCTAAATAAAGGATAAAGCATGAAGCTTTCGCGGCCGATCACTGTAATCCAATCCAGGATCTCAGTTGCTTATGAATGCGATATAACCTATACAATGACTTGCGGGGCCAGCCGATGTACAAGTCAGTGTTTTATCCTCCCAGACGAATCTGGTACCAGTTCACTGCCCCCAGGAGGTCGAAGGCTTCGCTGGCCTTGGTAGGATCCTAGCCGGGATCTGACTTCGGATTGTCCATATAGTAAGTGGACCACTTGTCGCTACACAGCACTCTGCCCGAATCTTCTATATGGGAGCGCTACGTTGAAGTTCGCTTGAGCGAAGCATTGTATAGCTCTGTCGGAAATAGTTCCGCGGGTCAAGTTGCTCATTCGTAAGGCAGCGTTCAGACTTCGCGACCGAAGCGCTGCCGTTGCAAAATCTGAACGCTGCCTAAGTTTTTGAAGAAGAGATAGCATCTGCCTTGATATCTATCCTTCTGGAATGCGCTACATGCTTTACTACTATGCTACATCGTAGTGGCATTTTGAATGCGCTTTGGTGAATAAAAGAATGAAAGAGAGCGTGCCGATTAACAAGTCAGTGTTTTACCTTCGCAGACAATTCTGGTACAAGTAACCAAGCCCGAGGAGTGGAGGCTTGATTGATCGATTCAGGATGTGATCCTTGAAGGTTCGCGTCATGCCACTGACGGCTGCCGCTGTTCACCCTCTCTCCACCCTCATAACAAGTTAAGCGGCCCCAAAGGCAAGTTGAGGTTAGTGGTAATCATCAGCCGTGGAAAAGGGCTGATAATTCACTCAGTTCCTTACGATAGTCGGTTATATAATACAAAGGGGCGCAGATTGGAGCGCGTCCAAGGTAGCCACTCTCACCAACAGTGTGGACCCAGGATGGCATCAGTAATGGAAAGGACTACCCCAGCTGCGCTCCATTCAAAGCCCTGTCACCACCTCCTGTTTGCAGGTGTACTAACTGATGTAGAAAACTTGCAATACAATACTAGTACAAGTTTCAAGCTGTTATTGTTTGATAACTGCTGTTTAACGCCGCAGTACGCGATCCGAAAGCTATCACAAGAATGCTGAGTTATGGGCAAAAGTCGGACCACGGACGGGATTCGAACCGGCTCATCACGTTGAACGTGTGAGTGCTGTAAGGCTATGGCACAAATAGCCATTGAGCTGAGTGGTCAAAAGTGGCCTCGGTAGCGTAATAGGGAACGCAACTGCCCGGTAAGCAGAAGATGCGGGTTCGAATCCCGTCCGTGGTCCGACTTTTGCCCATAACTCAGCATTCTTGTGAATACTAATACAATTTACCTCCTTTATGGCCTCGATCCCCATTGCATCCGTATACGTCCATGCACTGCAGTCCAATATGAGCGCTTTCCAGCTCGGTTCCAAAGCCATACTTTCGGGCCTTTTCTTTTCAGTGGTCCCTGGAAAGCACAGAATAAGTTTGTATCTCTTCTCATGTGGCTTTCCCTTGTAGACAGTGGCCACTTACTGTAGGCTGGGGGTTGTCGCCAGTGTCATTGGTGGAAGGGCTGAAAAGGGTGTGACTGAACGCCTTCTCGCATTCCTACTACCAATGACGGCGGCAACAATTGCCCGCCACCAGCAGTCCTGCCCACTGCCTTTCAAGCTAGGGCTCACACTGGTGGTGCTGACGACACATTCGGGGTTGCATCCTAAGCCATGGAGGGCAACATTATGACGACATGTAGTACAGATAGTGGTCCTACCTAGTAGCTCTTGTATGCAATCCTTCAGTAACTCCACATTAGTGAATATTACAGGAGCATCAAATCGTAGAATTGGTGTATCAGTTCGTTGGGCTCTTGTGTAGTTGTGGATAGCACAGAAATTGGTTTTATCTATCTCACCCAGCTCGGTTATACTCGGCCTATAATAAAGGTGTGAAAACTATGTGCTGCAGCGGCTATATACGGCCACTAATATCACATCATCGCGCTGTGCAAAATTTTTATAAAGCTCAAAAAGTAGGAACTACTCCAGGCTCAGAATGGCCTCCCCTTCTTCTTAAAAACCTTCCCCACCTCAACATTTCGCCGTCGAACCGGGAATCTAAAAACACTGCCGCGATACTTATGCATTCTGTTCCTTGTACAAGTGGTCCCGCCTGAATCGTCTGAAATCTCAGAGTTTGTCCTCTCCCCCACGCTGCACGGATGCACACTGAGCAACGAGGGCGCTGCGAGCGCTGTCGGCCACGGTGGAAATTGTCCCACCACATTTCGGCTAAAACATACCAGTGGTGCTACCTCACAAGCAAACGTGGACGCATTGTTGTGTACGAACTTACCATCGGCTCTACTCTTCATTCTACCCTGTCCCCTTTTTCTCTAGTCTCTCACCCACGCGATGGTGTCTCGCTTCTACAGAGATTCAACCAGCGGTGGGGCCTATCTCGGGCTTTCTCGACACTTTTCTGAACTTTTTCCCCACACTTGAGAGCTATTGAGCATCTATGAATTCATAAGATGACAACCAGGAGGAGCATAACGATGAGGATAGCACGAAGTGTCTGAGCCAGGATAGCGAGACTGATCAAGAGCCTGAGCCCATACGATTTGCATGAAATGTGCAGTTAAACGTGATACAACCAGTAGAAACGTACCTTTGGGTATGAGCAACAACAGTTATAAGTGCGAGCACCATTCCAGTAACAAGACCTGTGATGATATCCCAGAAAATAGTGACTACAGCCGTAACAACCCAAACAACCTGAAAAGCATGTTTATAAGACAATTCAGAATTAAAAGGCAAAAGTTTGGCATAGAGAGCTCTTGGTATGGCTCCCTCCCAGCACACAAATGTTATTCAGTCTTGCTCTCGGACGCTATGGGCTGCCACGGAGGCTGATTCTGACGTGGCGCCAGCCGCTTTCCACCAATTTTGATCGCTTATCAGCTCCCAACCCACCTCCCTACTCTTTTGTGTACGCTTGCTATCTAGGTCTCCACCGCCTGTGCCCGAAATGGCAGCTTTCACAAAAACGCAGCCGCATCCGCGCTACACTTGAGCGCCTGGCATGCCCCTCCCAGGGCACGTGATATAGGCTATGACAATCCCGTTGGCACTAAAGGAAAACAAATGTAAAAGAAATGTATGTATGTAAATTCAAATGTAAAAGACTAACCACATCTGACTTGGAGAACCTCCACAGATATTTCAGTTCAGTGATCCTCGATAGCAATGGGGACAGGGCTACGACAACTATCGAACTCAGCACGCACGTTGGTAGATCATGAAGTAACGGACCAATCACAAAAATTACACATAGCATCGCACATGATGCTACCAATCCAGACACCTTGAACATGAAAAGAAACTCGGAAAGGTGTAACTCATATTAAAGAGGAATCGAATACCACATACGCTCCTTATCCCTGACAGGAGTAAGCGCGGCGTTTGGCTGAAATCACGTTTAGCTGAAGTCCGTAGCCACGCCCACCACATCTCAGGGATTTGGAGTGTAGTCTTGTTCGCTACGGATGCCGGGGCTTGTCAGGCGGGGGGGGGAGCAGCTGAGTTTGGCATGCTGTCAGCCATTTCTCCACAAACTGTTGAAGAGGACACACGACAACTAATGGAAATTGGTGGAAATGCGGTCGCGGGCCAAGTCAATGCAGCCCCCTTATACGCCCAGCATTTGCAGCGAACAATACTACGTTTGTTCGGAACCCCTTCAAAACGTAGCACTCGTGAAGAAATCCGAACACCCGTAGTATTCGGGTTTCCACCTTTGAAACAGCCAAATTATGGATCGTCACTTCCAAGACAAATGGCTGAATTCGAGCATGATGGTCCCCACCTGAATTTGAATACAGGGCACATCATTGGTTGAGGAATCCCCATAGGGGGGGGTCGTATTTGGCCGCCAGGAGAGGGGGGTCGTAATGAGGGCGGTAGCCAGTATCGAGCAGCGCAAAGGTCTCAGTGTGCTGAGTCCAGAGTAGCGGAACTCGCTTTGTAGAGAACTCGGATATGTAAAAGAAATAGTAGAAAACTTTCAACCATCAATTAATCCGAAATAACTGAAATTATTATTATAATAAGTCGACATTATCTCGTAAGTCCGTTGATGACTGAACAGTACAACTCATACTCTGGTTCGTTGCGGATGATGGGGCGTGTCCGCGATTACGCTTGGCGCTGAGCCAACCTCTTTTTTCAACAAACGACAGGACTACCATATCGTTCGTACCAGACGTTTTCCAGCAGTTGGTCTCCTTTATCGGAGACAGCAATTGGCGGAGCACACATCTGGCGGCGTCGACACAGACACGCTCCATCATCCGCAAGGGAAAACACTGTAAACAAGTGCACAGGTTCGCCATGGATCTCCCTGAATCCTATAGACACATTTGCTCGCGTGGACAGACATTACGCACAAATTGCACCATCCCATCACCTCTGCGCGGACCTCAGTGCGCGGCGCATCCAAAGTCAGCGTGATCGGCGCTAAACGAACCATATTCTGCTCCTGCTCCACCACAGGATACGTTTTTCATGCGTTCCTGGTTATTCGAACACGCTCACTTGAAACGGTACACAGGAAACGGGTTTTTCGCGCAGCTGGGAGTGTTCCCCAAGAAATCCCCATAGCGAGATCTCATGAATCCCGAGAACTTCAGAAACAGCTCAAGAGGTTTTTAGAAAGAGAAAATCTTTAAACACTCGAAACCGTTCTCAGATTTGTGAAATGTTGAGTTACAAAAAAAAATATATTGATTCAAACCTGTTCAGTTGAAATCACTCCCCAACGAATCCTTATGGCTTCTCCGTGATTTTTGCGACCTTCATAAACGTTTCAGTACTTTTAGGAAGTGCAAACCTTCCTCTACACGAATACGGTCTCCTCTTCCCCACAGGTCCGCTTTTGAGGAAGTTATGGTCCTTCAAAGACACCCCACTTTGCTGAAAGTTCGCGCTCCAGTGCTAAAATTGACGAATAATCTCCGGTCACGGCTGCAATTACATACGCATTTCTGCTACCGTACTCCACATCTCGGGTTAATGCATTTTTAGCGCATTTCTTTTTTGTTTTTTTTCTGTTTCTGTTCTGCCGCTTTTTGTTTTTCGTTTTAGTCATAGTCTCATTTAACTCGCATTTATGCTGTGTTTATGCTACTCATCCTGTTTTTGATTACAAACGCTTGCACATAAGTAAATCAACTCAACTTAGGTAGGACATATCTATTTTTTATATCTAATTGTTTATATCTAATTTCAGGAAGTATGTAACGTCAAACAGTAAACAGGGGGGGGGTCGTACCGAACCCCCAAAAAGGGGGAGGGGTCATACAGGCTCAACCGAAATCCCATCAAATGCTGTGCCCTGTTTGAATAATCGATCTTGCATAGTTCTAACCTGCGTACGAGCTCCAGCCCTTTCGT